AATGCGAAACGAGTTAATCCTGCGCCAAATCGAGAAGGAGCGTATCAGAGAGGAAATAATTGCACAAGAAATGGCGTGGCGACGAGAGCTGGAAGCGGAGGTGAGGAGGGAGTTGATGGTGGAAAGAGAAATGGCAATGCGAGGACGAGGGATGTCTTTTGAAGAAAGATTGACAATGCAGTTTGATTCGAGGAAGCCTCTGCTGCCGGGTCCTCTCGTGAACCAATTTGACTGTAGCTGGCCCGAAGATCGTTTAGCATTTCACGGTCATGGGGTGTCTTATATGTTGCCGCCGGTGCCAAGGTTACCAGCGTCAGAGATGAAACCTTCAACGGAAAATAACAAGGATAAAGTAATCGTGCTGGTCAGTCTTATAAAACTCTTGCTAATATTCTTAGTGTTTTTTTTCCTCACTCATAGTTTATTTATTTATTTATCCTTGAATTCCTGCATTATATTTTTAGTAACTTGCCCGTCTAGCAATCTTTTCTTTTTTCAAGTTAGAAACTTTTTTTTTTGTTTTTGTTTAATGGTCACAAGGATAATTGAGTATCATGTGAATGCCTTGCGTTGTGAACCTCTGTTGATTTTCAGCCGTGATTTTCTTTTTCTGGTTTGATTTGGTGGTGTTTTATGTGATTTCTTTTGGTCACTTGAACCTGTATTACATACTAACATGTAAGAGGGAAAGGTTCTCCTCTTTTTTTTTTTTTTTTAAAGGCTTGTAAGAGTGTTCTTTTGTCTGTTAAACATCCAAAGATGAAAATTGATTGGTGATGATATTAGCACTCCATCCCTTCATATTAGCATGCCTTTATCAGCTTAGCCAAATCTTGCGCTTTAACCATGAATCATATATTACACCAAACACAAACTCTGACCCAAACCTGTAAAGAATAAAACAAGAATATTTTCCTTAAATAAACTTTATACAAAGGAGTTGCTACATTTACGATATTCTATTATGGGTAGTCTAATTACAAAAGAAAACTAAATACAACCACAGTTAATGAAATATATTTAGCTTTGAATGACCATATATTTCTCAACACCACCCATGCCCATCTTGTATGTCATAGTTGAGAATGCTTCCCAAATGGCTTTGTTAATACATCTGTGAGTTGATCTGCTGAAGAAACATATTTTGTTTTAACTGAACCACCTTTTATCTTGTCATGAATAAAATGACAGTCCATCTCTATGTGTCTAGTTCTTTCATGAAAACAAGATTGACTATTATATATAAAGCTGATGTTTTATCACAATACAACAATGTTGGCTTTTGATGCAATATTCTCAAATCCAACAACAATGAGCATAGCCAAGATAATTCACAATATGTACCTGTCATGACTGTATTTGGCTTCTGCTGAAGAGAGGGACACGATTTTCTGCTTCTTTGTCTGCCAAGAAATAAAGGCAAATCTTAAAAAAATACAATAGCCTGTGGTGGCTTTACGTGATGTCAGATATCCACCCCAATTCGAATAAAAAACGCTTGCAAAGATTAAAGTATTTTGAACAAAAAAAAAAGTAATTTTATAAGGGCCTCAAATATCACAATGAATTAATTCAAAAGGTCTAATGGATGAAATTGAACTAATAGAGAATGAAAGTTGACTTTGCTTTGCAAGTGCACCAACATCACAAGCATTATTAGATTGAAAAAGAAAATTTAATAGGTGTTTTGCCATAAAACCTAATCTAGAGGAAGACAAGTGCCCTAATTGGCCATGCCACAAAGCTGTGGAAGTGGGGACTTGAGGACTGGATGGACGACAAGAAGTGGTTGCGGCTGATGGAGATCGTGGTTTGTCTGATGCGAATGCAACCAAGTGATAAAGTCCATCTCGTTGTTTATTCAAACCACTCATCATCTTCATCACCAAGTCTTGCAAAATGTAAGGGAAAAAGGTTACCAAGCAATTCAAATCTTTGATAACTCTCTGCTCACAGGCATCAAGTCCACCGTAAAAAATAGCACACCAAGCACAAGCACATTTTTTAAAGTAATTGCAGAATTCAAAGGTAAATTTCCAATGGAAGTAATAGAAGCCTGTTCTCCACTTGGTATGATAACTGATGGCAAAACAATATTTTTGCTACTCTTGACAAGTAATGTGATATGTTGCATCACTATCAATAATCAATTGATAGAGCCTTAACAATGTTGGTAACAAACATGGGGAAGTGTCAACAATATTAGCTTTTGAATTGGTAGGGGAATTGGCAGGTTGTGCTGTTTGTTCTCCTTGCGTGATGAACAATATTTGCTGATCTGCAATCCTGAAAGCCCATTTGTCACCGAAGATACCTCCTGTATTATTTGACCTTTCTTAACATTGTTGGCAAAAGACTGATGGCCATTATTGCTCTTGAAGCAAGCGCTTCCTTGGGCAGACTTGTTTGATGTATGTTTAGGGTGTTCTGGTGGCTACCCTTTCAACTTCCAGCATGTTTCTTGCACATGATGATCACTGCCATGGTCACAATAAGAGCATTGAAATGGATTTCGGTTAGAAGAGATGGAACGAGAAGAAATACCTTGTCCATTTCTAGTAGTCAGGGCTGCTGATTCAGTCCTTTGCTTATCCATAGCTGAATTCTCTGTTGTTTCGCGGGTTCTCCCTAGACTACACTACGTCTCTTCCTGTACAATAGAAACATAGGATTTAGCAGTGTCGGGCAATGGATTCATCAACAGAATCTGACCTTCAATTGCACTATAGGATTCATTGAGTCTCATAAGGAACTGCATCAGTAATTTGCATCATTCGATGTCCCAAGAACAACGGTATTATTATAGGATCCTAATTCATTCCATAATTTTTAAGCTTCGTGCATTAGGCTGTAACAGCCATCTGATCTTGAGCAAGACAAGCAACATCTCTTTCAATCTGAAAAATATAAAGAGCATTGTTTTGAGAAAAACAACCCCAGAGATCTTCCCATACCTCTTGTGCTGTGACTGAAAAAATAACACCATCTTCTATGTCCTGTTTGAGTGAATTAAGAATCCAAGATAGAATCATATCTTCGCACTTTTTCCATGAAGCATACTCGTTTGGCTTGTCTATGACAGATGGCATTATGGTGGTTCTGTCTATAAAACCCTGTTTGGATTTGGCGTTCAAAGAAATCGTCATGGCCCTACACCATATCAAGTAATTATCCCCATTAAAAGGCTTGGAAACGAGCACCATACCCATTAAAAGGCTTGAAAATGAGCATCATATCTTGATTATCTGAATGGTGTAGAAAATGTGGATTTGCTGAATCAAGTTTGTCTGCATCCAAAGGTGGTTCTTCCTCCATGTTCATAGATACCATTCAGAAAAAGGTAAGAATAGAAAAGCTTGTGTGTCGTTCCCTCCTCTGATACCATGTAAAGAATAAAACAAGAATATTTTCCTTCAAAATAATTGTTTTGCAGTAGGAGACTAAACTTTATACAAGGGAGTTGCTATATTTACACTATTCTATTCTGGGTAGTCTAAGTTAAAAAAAACAAAACTAAATACAATTACAGTTAATGAAATATATTTATCTTTGAATGACCATATATTTCTCAACAATACCCATTCATTCTTATTTTGCACAAAGTTTTTTTTTTTCTTGTTCTAAAATTTTTGACAGCATGAACTTTGGAGTGCATTGATTTGTTGTTTCTTTTTCCTTATGAGCAGCAGGACTTGCTTTTATAATTTGAAGCAGCATAGACCCATTCATTCTTATTTTGCACAAAGTTTTTTTTTTTCTTGTTCTAAAATTTTTGACAGCATGAACTTTGGAGTGCATTGATTTGTTGTTTCTTTTTCCTTATGAGCAGCAGGACTTGCTTTTATAATTTGAAGCAGCACAGACCCATTCATCTAAATGATAGGGGGTTTTCCCTTTCTTAAATGGTAAAAATACTTCCGTTTCTTAGCAAAGCATTAAATTATACTTTGCACTAAAAAGGAGGTACTTTTGTTATTTAAGTGACAGGAAAAGCAACTTACACAAACATACTCAAGTGTGTATTAAGGGAGCGGTGAGTAAAAAGGAATGTTTAAGTGCAATTTCATCCAAATTGAAACCTATTACATTTTCAATTCAGATGAAAAAACACTTAAAAAGTCTTTTTTCCCCACCATCACCTTACTACCAATCATCATCCTTATATCACCTTTATACCAAACACACATGAGAACATGAACAGGAGCATGTCGAAGGCCATATTTCTCTCTAACCGTGCTGCTCCTACAATCAATCTAGCCATGCATAGATTGAATTAAATCTCAATTGAGGAACAAGTTTAATTTTTTGAGAAATTAGACTGCAAATTTGATAATGGAATTGCATAAAAGCAATGCATGACAACGTTCTTACAGCAACAATCCCATGAAGGAAAACAATTGAGAATCTCAACCAATTAAACAAAACACAAATCTTAAAATTTATGTTTATTGTGAAGGCTACAAGTGGAATATTAATTCATGGAGTTAGGCGAAACATTGTTGAAGGAAAATCATGTCCTTTACTTGTTGTGGTAACAAAATGTGATAGGTTGATAAAGTAAACTTGAAAATATATGCTTATGAAAATTCTCTCAAAGATTGAAAAAGAAAAGAACTTTATGTAAGCTAAACACATGATAAATATTTTAGGGAGGAATAAAAACTACCAATGTCGATTGAGCAGTGCCATTATGGGTCCATGATTTACATCTAGGCTTGCTGCCAATACATGTGGTGGCTCTACTTGTGATCCAGCAAATTCGAAGTCTGTTCTTAAGGGGCATTGCAGCCGTTGAGTAAAGATATCTTCCTAGTTCATTGTAGCTCTATTGTCTGCTACAGAAATTTGTTATTGGTCTTTCTTCATCTGGGAAGGGATGATCTACATTGACGGCTTCATTGATCCCTTGGGCTCTGATTTTTCATTTGCAGGTTTTCTCGGAGAACACTGTTTTGTGTATATGCAGCAAGTATTTGTACTTTCCTTTTAACTTTTTTGGCTTCAAGCAGGCCAACACTAGTTTCGTGAAAGATGTTCATTTACAGGTGCACTAGTGTTAACGCAAATTGTCAATGAAAATAAAATAGTTTTGCATCAGGATATCTGATAAGTTGTGTGAGCCTTTGTAAGCATGCTTTAACTTGTATATGACCTGGAGCACTGCTCACTGTCTTCTCACAGAGTCAGTGTTATTCTTTTCCCTAGATTTTGTATATTTTTGTTTCCTAGAAAATGATAGACTTTACTAATAAAATAATGTGATTTAAACATTTTACATGATAATAGTGTTCCAAAACATTTCTAATTATTTTTTTTCTTGGAAGTGACAAGACCTTGCACCTTTATTCTTTGTTAAAGATTGAAAATAAAGGAAATTGATATGTACTTGTCTAACTACCACCACATTTTTTTGTCATCATTATTTGACAACCTAGTTTCTGGAATAGAAATACACAAATAATTTTGTGTTGTGAAGCCTGTAGCAATAAAGAAATATACTGATAATTTGTGTTGTGAAACCTGTAGCAATAATAATGAATATTGCATAAGAGAGAAAACAAGAAAAACTCACAAATGTAACGTTATTCGACAGTATACTTGTATTCACATGAGTGAGGAATTTTTATTTCATTACATGTCAAATTACAGCAAAGGGGTATTATTAGAAATTACTAATACCCTAGGTCAGCTAGGGTTTGCTGTGAATACCTCCGCTCCTCTTGGTTCACTTTGCTACCCTCGCTCTGCTCTACTTCACTTTGGTATCTATCTATAAGCTATATATTACAAAAATTTCCATCTTAATATTTACCTCGTAGGAGAAAACTAAAGCTAGGGTTTTTGTTATAAATACCTTTGCTCCTCTTGGTTCGCTTCGCTACCCTCGCTCTGCTCTACTTCACTTTGGCATCTATCTATAAGCTATATATTACAACAATTTCCACCATGGCGAATATTTACCTCATAGGAGAAAACTAAAGTAACCATAACCTGGAACTCTACTTGGGACAATAGGTTGGGGTGTCTCTCATCTAGCACTTGGAGACATTAATCAAGTTCATGCAGTGCTTGAAGTTATCTATAGTACTAGGCTTTGCCAACATGTTTATTACATTCTTAGAAGGGTGAACTTTCTCAAGTAATAGTTTACTTGAAGAAACTAGTTCATTGATTCTATGAAACCTTACATCTATGTGCTTGGTCCCTGCATGATACATTTGGTTCTTTGCCAAGTATATGGGCACTTTGACTATCACAATGTAATTGAACTTCAATTTGCTGAATACCTAGCTCCCTGACCAAAGCTGTAAGCCACAAGGCTTCGTTGGCAGCCTCAGCCACTATCATATATTTTGACTTATTAATAGATAGTGCAACTAGAGACTAAACCATAGACCTCTAATAAATAGGCCCCTAGCAAAGTAAGTACATCACTTGTGGTAGACCTTTAGTCATCCAAGGTCCTAGCATAGTCTGCATCCACATATCCTATAACTGAAAGATCACTCTGTTGTCTGCTAAATGTTATGCCATACTCTGCAGTATCCTTTAAATATCTAAAGATCCACTTGACTGCATCTCAATGATGTCGTCCCGAATTTGATAGAAATTTGCTCACCACACTATCTGATTTTGCCAAATCTAGTCTTGCTCAAACTGTAGCATACATTAAAAACCTCGATGCATTAACATATGGAACCTTTGACATGACTTTCACTTCATCATATGTCTGTAGGCATCGAGCAATAGATATTCTGAAATGATTCACCAAAAGTGTACTCACTGGTTTTGTATTATCCATGCTAAACTTTTCAAACACTTTCTCAACATTGCTACACTAGTGAATATGGTCCTTTCATTATTGTCATAGCATTTTCACTAACCTTCAGTACTCCACCTTTAGATTTGAAATTGAACCCGTTACGGTCTAAAGTGCCCAATGAAATCAGATTTTTTCTCAAATTCGGTATGTATCTAACATCACACAATGTTCTAATAGCATCATCAAACATTTTAATCTTAATATTTCCTATTCAAACAACTTTGCTTGGATTATCGTTACCTGTTGGAATAGAACCAGAATTAACTAACATGTAGGTATCTAATCAATCTTTATTGGGTGTCATGTGATAAGAGCATGCTGAATTTAATATCCATGAATCTGTGAGATGACCTGAACGGATGAAACAAAAAGCATATCTCCAATACTGCTCTTTGAGTCTTGTTCCACTACATTCATGGACTTTGATGTGCTCTCTTTGTTCTCTTTGATGTGCTCTCTTTGTTCTCTTTATCTCTCTTTTTCTCTTTGAAACTTCTTATTTTATATGTCCTGCTTTTCCACATTTATAAGATTATATGTCCTCCTTCTTCCTGGATTTAGACTGAGTTTTCGCTCTGTGACTTGTTTCTCTCGCGCTTTTGATTACTCATCACAACCAGCCCTTCACTTTGTGAATTTTCATCACTAGCTTTCTTCCTTATAATAAGGTGTAATGAGGTACTTATGATTTCCTCCAATTGGATTGTTTCTTTCCACACATCAAAGTTGCAACTAAATTTTTGTACGTAGGAGAAACAGGTAAGGAATTTAGTAACATCAACGTTTTGTCTTCGTTGTCGAACTTTGCATCAATTCGCTTCAAATCACTAACGATTTGATTGAACACATTGATATAACAATTTGATTGAACACACTGATATGCTGAATCAAATTTGTGCCCTTTGACATCTTAAGATAAAGTGGTTTCTATTTAAGATAAATTTTGTTCATCAATGACTTAGACATATACCAACTTTCCAGTTTTTTCCCAAACTATCATTGGTGATTCCTTATCTGTGATGTGATACATCACATCATCATCTAGACAAAGCCTAGAAGTTGTCACAGCCCTCGCTTCCAGTTCCTGCCAATTTGTGCTGTTCATGCTTTCTGGTTGTTTTTTGTATAACACCTTTATCAAGTCTTGCTGCACTAACAAATCTTTTACCCTCCGCCATAATCTGAAATTATTAGATTCATAGAACTTGACCATGTTGATTTTGCAGAAGAAATCCTTGACATCGTAGCCAGACTCTAATACCAATTGTTGTGAAACTTGCAACAATAATGATAAATAGTGCATAAGAGAGAACACAAGAAAAATATACAAATTTAACATGGTTCGGTAATGTGTTTACATCCATAGAAGTGAGGAGCATTTATTTCACTAAATGTCAAATTACTGTAAAGGGGTATTATTTAAAATTACTAATATCCCAAGGACAGCTAGGGTCTACTATAAATATCTCCGCTTTGCTCAGTGCGCTTTGCTCCCCTTGCTCCGCTCCGCTGCACTTTGGCATCTATTTATGAGCTGCATACCATATTATTTTGCACATTTAAGGGGGTCCTTTACACATGGATGTGTAGGAATTTTGTATTCTGGTAGTAAGATATATGTAGAAATGCATGGCTTCAGTATTATTTCTCCTCCTTTCCTTTTTCTTTGATCCACTCCTTGGAATCTAACATTTATTGATAAAAATTTTGGTTTTTATCCTTTCTAGAAAGAAAACATGTCCTTTTGAAAAACATGCATTGAGATGTCATGATTGCTGGTATTTGAAGGTTAGAACTTAAACGGCTATTCATGTTAGTGTGTTTCTTAATTAACCTTTTTACATGGAGTGATTTTTTGTGAAATGTACTAAAACTGATTGTTTCTTACTTGGCGTGAGCTATCACTTTCATTGGTACACTTCTTGTTTGGTATAAATGCACGCACGAGTTAATTTTAATGTACACAATAACACACGAGTTAATTTTAATGTACACAATATACTATTCTTGTTCCCAAATGCTATAGCATTTGCTTATACTCTCATGCCTAACTTTACTAGTAAAGATTGCTCTGCTTTATTGGATGAAAGAATCTGCAACTTTGAGCCGTGATGCTGTTGTCATTGGTCATAAAGTTTTGGTATTAAGGCAGTGTGATCTCTATGAGTTTTTGGACCAGAAAATTATGACATCATACTTTCTTTAGAATGGTTGTTGGATGAATCTTTAGAATGGATGTTAGATGTATCGGTTCGTAAAGAGAGGATGATTGAAAAAACAAAAATGTTTAGCCAGTGCTTTTGTTGGATGCACAATATTTGAACATAAGTTAAGTTAGAAATATATAAAATCTAGAATCTAAAATTCATTCAAGTTATACTTAATAAATTTAAGTGATGAAAAACTTTTCTTTCATGACAGATTTCAAACAATATTCTTATCAGTTTGGGTCAAGATTCATAGCATTATTTTTGGCAGTTGTAAAAATCTTTATGAATATGGTTTATATGGTCAATTTTTTGTTGAAATCGTACAATTTACACATTGAATCGTATCGCAATTCAAGTCTTGAGAAAACCTGTTGGAAGGCTACCTGTAAGTCCTGGATAAATTCTCGGAGATGCATCACAAGAAATCCTTACCCCCATCAGACACGCACCTGCATGCATGCGTGTATAGAGATGTTGGTTTTTTGCTGTTTGCTAAATAATTTTAACATCCTGCTCGCCAATTTGTGTTGGGTTAAGAACAGAAAGAATGAAAAGAAAATAAGAAGCAGATGAAGGCCTTTCAAAGTCCACGTGTGACTTGATATAAAAGGCAAGTTTTGACTCCTTTGTAAACATTGATAATTTTATACATAACTCTACGGAATGCTCTTCGAAATGAACCGTATGGATCTTGAAAAGCTAACATACTTGGTGGTGAGATATTGTTGACATTTCATCAAAATTATCTTGTGATCATCCAATTGATAACAATCCTTTTCTCTCTCTTCATATTCCCATTAACTCTCCCACCAACTCGTTTTTTTGTTCTCTGTTCATTCTTCATAAACAAGCTAAATTATGAACTTGCGTATTCCTAGTCGCACCTGCAGCTTTAAAGGCTTAAATGTCTTCATCCTTTTCTTTTCTTTCTCTTGTTGGTGCCGCCCTTATATGGGGTGGGACCCCTGACACAATTTGAATGAGTGGTGGTATATATGAAATATCACACATGACTGAAAACTGGAAATAGATGAATGGTATGGACAGCGGATGTCATAAAATAAAACGACCTAAATTCAGAAGCCGTTTTCCAAAGAGATCTCCATTATTGGTCAGATTAGTGTGAATGTGAGTCTCATGGGCGTCATTGGTTTGACCAAGGAAGATGATTGAGAAGAGAAGAAAGGACACAGTTATGGAAAAAAAACATTTTCCTTTTTTCTCTGTTTTAAAATTGCCAAAGGAGTCATTAGTCAACTTTTGTTCAACTAACAGCCTTAGTTGGTAATTTGGCTAAAATGAAGGTGACTTCAAGAAATTTTACTGATGCATGATTTGGAGAAATTTATTCTGATCACTTCAGAATTTACATTTTTTTTTTTATCTCTGTTATCATTAAGTCCATGGTTTGAACCGTAAAGAGAAATGCTAACAATTCCACATGAACCAAAAATGCTTACCCTCATTGCGCACCATTAACAACTGTAATTCATCTGGCCTTATGTGTGAACTAGTGTAGTGATTCTCTGAAATGGTTTCAAGATTTACAGATGCTAAGTGTGATAAGTGCATAATGGTTGCCTGCTCCTTCCTGGGCTCTTTAGAAATTTATCAAAGAAGTTTCAGTTTTTTCTTCATGGTGAATTATGTCTGGTTGTGTGCCCTTCAATTGTTGCACTCTGCTATATATGTTTCTGTTATTTGAATGTCGCGCAGAGGAGAATCAGAGGTCCCCTTTAACATATGCAAGTTATGTTATGGGGAAAAAAAAAAGAAGGAAGAATGAAGGTACGTTTTAGACTTTAGTTAGCTCAATAGCATTACTGTTCGTTGTACTAATTAAGAAATCACCGACTTTTTTGAGACGGACTAATTGAAGGAACCCTTATTCTGAGCAAGCATGTTTGTTGATCACAGAAAGAGCATGACAGTTTTGCAAGTCTTTACCGGATCAGATGTTTGCATTTAAATTTCCCCTCTATAAATCAGTATGTTACGGCAGAAAATGATGAGGGATAGGTGGATATCCTTGTTAAAGTTCTTACACCACAATTTTTTACTAGTGTCAACAAGTATTCAATCAATGTACGCTTTGATTTTGCACTTTTTTAAATACAATCTGATTTATTGTATTTTATTAAAAAAATTTTTGTAGTAATCAATGCTTCAGCATTGGAGCATGAATCTCTCTTTTTTGAGAAAAACATCAATGAAGTTTTCACCATTCATAAGGCAATTACTGTTTCAAGTGACTATGGTTATGTACTTACTATGTTTTAGTGTTGTGTTGCAGAAGAAACCGGATCCAAATCTTAGTGGAGCGAAGAGGAAGGCTGTAACACCAGCTGCAGAAGGTGTTGGTGAACTTCCTTTTGCTGGTATAAAGAAGAAACCCAAGGAAGAATGGAGTTGTGCCCTATGTCAGGTTAGTGCTACAAGTGAGAGAGGTTTGAATGAACACCTTCAAGGCAGAAGGCACAAGGCCAAGGAAGCAGGATTGAGAGCCCAGAAGATGGCGAGGAATTCCAATAAAACATCATTGCCAAAGGAAACCACAAAGACAGCTAAGCTAACCATCCTCACTGCAGGCGTAGAAATGGAGGCAAAAATCAAAGATAAATCACTTCAACTTAACAGGAATGATAACTTTTCAAACAAGAAAATTGAGAATAAGGAAGAGAGAGGGAATAGAAACGATGTGCAATTAGAGCAGAAAAATCAGCAACTGGAGGACTTGAACAAAAGTATGGCAGAAGCAGTTCAGAGAAAGGAGAGGACACCAGAGATTAAGATGAAAAAGAAATTTAAGTTCTGGTGCGAAATGTGCCAGATTGGAGCCTACTCTGAAATGGTGATGGGGGCTCATAAGAAAGGGAAGAAACACCTGGCTCAGCTTCAGAAATCTAGTCAAAACGGTGAAGCTGTACAGGCTGATAAGAAGGCAAAAGATTCAGAGTTAGGGGCTGAAGGACCAAAAGATTCAGAGTTAGGGGCTGAAGAAACTGAAGATTCAGAATTTGTGGCTGAAAGAGCAACCGATTCAGGACTCGCCTCACGGGGAGCAAACACAGAGAGAACAGAAACTGCTGTTGCGAATGCAGATGAACCACGTCCACCTTCTACAATAACAATGGAGAAAGAAGGGGTGCATCTGTAAGAAATAATAAGCAACCAAGAGAAGATGAGCAAGTGAAACAACCATCCTGGAATCTTCAAAAAGTTAAATGTATCTTAGACGTAGGTTTGGGGCTGTAAAGCAGTGTTCTGTAGCATATTCGGACCCCTGTTTTTTCATTCGAGTCGTAAAATTGTGAGATGATGCCTGCAGATCATTCAAATCTGGAAACTCGGTAGATTAGATAGTCTCCTTGACAAGGTCTTTGGAATGAAATGTTCTTCATGCTGACGTGACCTCAGACTCTTAAAACTGTTTGTTCTCCATTGCTGTAAGCTGTAAGCTGGACGTATTTATTTTTGCCGTAGGTTGTGTATTCTTTTTAATTTTATCTGTTTTTTTTTAAATTATTTTGTTTTTTATATTTTTAAATTATTATGATTTGTAGATATTAAAAAAAATATAAAAAAAATTAATGTATTTTTTAAAAAAAAAAAACCTTAGAAAAATAGATCTAAATCTCGGCATCGAGGTCCACTTTTTGGAATGGTAATGTTCTTCAGCCCTCGTACCATGGCATCTAAACCCTGCACAAGCTTTTTACAGTAAAACAATCGTGTGCGCTTGCGGTTGGTTGACACTTTTTTACAACCATCTACAGTGAATGAAACTTTTCTACGAAGTGACAAGGCCAACCAATAAGTTCAACACTAGGTTAATACTCTGACATGTTTGGGGGCCACTAACCCGATAGTCAGCGATATGCAAAAGTTTTTATTTTCTTACCAAAAAAAAATATTGACATCTTATTTTTTATTTTTTAAAAAATATTTTATCTATAAATTTAAAATTAATTATATAATAAATGTTTTTATCTTAAAAAATATATTAAATCAACTTAAATTATTTTAGATTAAACACACAATCCAAGCCAATAAACTTTTAAATCCAGGCTTATGCTTTTTTAGATTTATTCTCATTTAAAGAGATGGATAATATGTTATTTTCATTTATTCATCTTTTAGTCTAGATTTAATCATTGATATGGTAGTTAGAAAATTAAAACTATAAGTTTTTAATTTAAAAAATTTATTTTTCAACTATTGAAAGTTTAAAACACCAAAAACAATCCTAGAACTTGTAAAAATCAATTTAGCAACTTAATAAACCCCAAAAAGACTTAATTACAAAATTAAATTAAATAGATTTTCTCATCCTCGACCTTAGACAATATTAAGGCTTGGAACAATTATTATAAGATTCTTTTCTAATGAAATTCATTAATATAAATTTAAATTATTTTGATGGTTAAAATTAGTGTAAATGATGATTTTTCTCTCTCTAAATCTAAATTTGGTAGTCTTTTGTCTCTCTACTCTAGTAGAAAATGATTGAAAAAAAATAAGAGAAATAAATTTCAATATTAAAATTAAATTTTTTAAAGCTAAAGAAATTAATAACCTCCAAACCAAGACCAAGAAATATAGGAAATAAAATAAACTTTTTATATGGACCTCAAATTCATGATCTGTTACCTGTCAGTTCAAAGTAGCTTAAAAGAGTTAAATTGTATAAAAAAATTGAGAATCAAATTAATTTTTTTTAAAATCTAACTATTCATGTACACAGTTCTTAGTGAGAGAAACCATAAAAATGCTTTAGTGTATAGTATTTGTTGTTGAATTGTTCTTCCACCGAAAGCAACAAGTAAAAATCTCCATTGATTGCACTCTCCATCTCCTTCCTTTCATGAAAGGAACACGCTAACCACTATCGTCATGCATGGCTTGATGACTCGTCTAACCACAGAGAACAGAGCAGGCCCCATCAACTCCATCTTTGAAGGCATTTCCCTTCCTCACCAGCACAGGCCCGATAACGTACGAGAGAAGTAACTTCAATTCCAGCAGATCACAGTCCTCCCTATCTTGTCAAAATACAAACGATTGGCTGTAGCAATTGCAGCACCAAGATTCGAAGTCCACGTTTCTTCATGGAAATATGGGTGCTGCTGATAGATTTTGAATAGCGTAGACGCTATGAATATAATCAAGTAAAATTATTTGGGAGTTGTCGTGACTCTTTACGTAAGTTTAAAATTATGTAGAGATTTATTATTTAAAAATATAATTAATTTTAACTTTAAATATATTTTTAAAGCTTGAAATGTTATAAATTATAAATTATTTAATTATTAAGTTCTAACAATAATTTACATGAATTACAATTGAGAAATTTTTAAAATTTTTATTTAAATTTTTTTTTTATATCTAAAATGTTAATTTTTTATTTTATAATTAACGTAGTTTTTTTTTGTCTAATAAACCTCCTCACAATAGAGGCATAACCTAGTTATTATAAAAAAATCTGAAAAACTCTATAAATTAATAAAATATCAATTCTCCTCTAAATAATATACATAATAATTTTAAAAAAATAACTCAATCAAGTCTTTATTTAATTTTTCTAAATCTAAAAACATAATTTATATATTATTTATATTCTAGTTCTTAATTTTTAAAATATATTTAATTAAGTCATACTTAATCAAATCATTCTAGTTGAATTTTTGACTAATGCTTCTTAAAGCATGTGACCTATTTGGTTTTAATATATTATCACAAATATAAATCATAATTCTAATTAAATAAAATTAAATAATTTAATTTATTATTAATTTAATAATTAATTAATTTTTATTTGAAGATCAGGTGTATCATAAAAAAAAAGTGTCATAATCTCTAAAATATTAAAAAAAGTTATTAGTGTTTATCTAACCTTTCATTAACTAGTTTTTCATTATAATTAATATTTTTTTATCAATAATATTTTAATTTAACATTAAAATATAAAGTATGTCTATTATATTAAATCATGTTTCTTTTCTATATAATAATTATTAATTATTTAAATAAAATTTAAAACTTGTTTTAAATCTTATTTCATCTTAGCTAAGGAATCTTTTTTTGAAAACTTGTTTTAAATCTTATTTCATCTTAACGAAGGATTTCTCAATCAATACTATTTAAGAACAAATATAATATTTTTCTAATTCATCTAGGATAATAAATTTTTTTTTAATCACTCAAATACCTTCAGATACTTCATATTATACCAATGTATATCTTTTTATTATCTCAATTAAAATAATATGTAATATTATTAAAACATAATATTTTTTATATAAAATAATTTAATAATTTTAAATCTAACTATCACTTACACATCATATGAACCTCTTCATAAATATAAATAAATTTTTTATATGAAATTCTCATATAAATTAATTAAATATACATGTTTTATAACAACTCCTATATATATGTTTTAAATATACTAATAAAAATAACTATTTTTTATTAAAAAACATAATATATATATCAATCTCTACAATACTAATAAATATTTATTATTTAAAAAAACATCAATCACAAATATTTTTTAATCAATATTTTGATATAATAAAAATCCCATAACAATAATAATTTTATAATTTTTAAGATATTTTTATCCCTTAACTTTATCTTTATTCTAAATTTTTTAATCTAATATTATATAAATATTAAAAATAAATTAAATTTTTATTGGTAATAAA